AGGTTTTCACTATTTTCAACCAACAGTCTCTCATTCACCTTGAGCATCATGATTTGACAAGGAGTGAAACTGGCTCTCACATGCAGCTTCGGTGATAATGGAGAAATTCTGCTTTCTTTAGCATCATCTCTTTGGACAAGACAGATTCAGGATTCACAGGGGCGGATCCAGGATTTTCAAAAGGGGGTTGTGCACCTACTGAATCCCAAATCAGTCCAGCCATCTATAGTCCATGACTGCCCCGCCTCAGGCTACAAGAACCATGTCTCAAATTTGGGGGGAATTGGTAATTGAGTCGATTTTGACCAGAGTAAGTGGTCCTTAAGCGTGCTTATGGTAGTCTGCCCTTGTGATCTGTGTGTCTCTGTGTTATCCTATGACTTTTAATACTTCTCTGACTGTGACTGGCTGGATGTGCTCTCTTCATCCTCTGACGTGAGAGTTGGCTTGGAGCTCGTCTGCCTGGCTGTGTGTTTCCTGGACGAAGACACCTTTTACAGCTGCTTTTTGTATCTCTGCTTCTGTCTCCTTAAACCCCAGTCGTCCTCAGCAGATGGCCGCTCACACTGAGCCTGGTTCTGCTGGAGGTTTCTTCCTGTTAAAAGGGAGTTTTTCCTCTCCACTGTCGCTACAAGCATGCTTAGTGTGAGGGATTGCCTTCAAGTCAATGAGTCGATGCCATCAACTGGTTTTCCTTAAATAGAAAACTTTGAATCAATTTGACTGTATGATCTGGTTTAGCTGTAAAGTGCCTTGAGATCAGATGTTGTGAATTGGCGCTATAGAAAAATACTGAACTGAATTGAATTGACGGACTGGACGCCTGGCGGTACCCGTCTCTTGAATATTACAGATAGACATCTCTCCCTCGTCTCCTGCACTGGTTAAGCAGGTCAGGCACATAGATGGAAGGACTTCTAACTGTTTATATGCTACTAATTCTTTGTTCCCTACTTTGAGTTTATACTTGTTTCAAACCCATGCACTTCATAGTGATTAATAGTGATTTAAAAAATGCAAACATATCAGATTTAACTAAACTTTTTGCCCATCTTTGTAATTTTTACGGTTGAGTATAACCGCGTTAATGTGAACTTACGATGTTTATTTCCATCTTGTTGATATTGTGTTTATTAGGATAGGAGGGGATTGATTTCTATGTGGTATTTGATTGGCTATGAAATGAAGATAAGAGGCAGGGTTGTGTAATGAAAGAAGGGAAGTGACGCAGGTTTTGGTGATGATTTTTTAAGTTGCAAAAACTGTACGGAATGATTTTTTAACATCGATTAACTTCTTTCTTCAGCCAAAACAGAAGCATTAATATTGGAACATGAGCACAGATGTTTAATTTCATATGTTTTCCACTTTGCCGGGAGTTTATCCAACATTTACGCCCCGCCTGCTAGTGAAAACCATCTTTAAACGTCATTAAGGTTGAATTGAATTCTATTGATCTCACATTGGAGAAATTACCTCTGCATTTAAACCCTTCCCTTGGGGAGCAGTGGGCTGCCATTGTGCGGCACCTAGGGTGCAGTGTGGGGTTAAGGGCCTTGCTCAGGGACCCAGATTAGCCTCTGAGCAAGGTTGATCTACCCTCCTGGAGGACTTTTGGAATCCTTTTTCCTTGTTTCTGACGACAGCACTGCTGTTGGAGATCTGTTTTAATCAGCCAGCTGTGAGAACTCATGAAGGCCTGGAAACTCTTGCATGAGCTGCAGACTCATTTGAATAATTACAATTGTGCAGATGTGAATTTAGAAATGCTAATTACCGTGTGACTCCATACTATCAGAAAGCCAGGAAGTTCAACTGTTTAAAAAATTGTCTTTTTCTTTTCTTGCTAAAAGAGAAATAGGTCCATCTTCCTCAAGGGTTGAATTTGTGAAATTTTCTGATGTATCACTAAGAATCGCATGAACACGGACCAGATTTCCTCATGTTTTCATGAGAATAAGTGTGTGCAGATTCGGTGTCTTGCTTTCTGTACTGAGTCAACGAAGACAAGTAATTATCTCTCTCACATGTATATTATTGTAGGTAAAGTTCTCTTTATTGAATTAGAAATTCAGGGATCCAGCTCGTTTTAACACATCAATCTGTCTCTGTTTGGTCCTTAAGTTCACAGTTTAGGTTACGCTGCTGTGTTTAAGGGTTTTTACATATATAAGCCCCCCCTCTCCACTCCCATTTTAAAAACATTACTATTTCTGCCACTGCCAAGACACACTATCAGTCCCACAGGAGGTTAGAGATGGAGCATAGCTGGGATATATCACCACAGCAACGATCCACATCAGGTTGATTTAAAAAGGGCACTAATTTTGCTTTGATATCATCAGGTTAGAGGAACATGTGTTCAGTTAAACCGTACAGATAAGAACCAGGAAAAGCAAGGTTTAGTTTAAACTGAAATCGCTTTCTTTTCAGCCCTGCAGGGCCTCTGATTTCAGGTTTCGGGGGCATGACCCACTGCCACCTCTGCTGCTCTGTCCACAATTTAACGACCGGCAACCTTTCCCCCTTTTAAAGAAGCTAAAAGATTATATATTATATTGGCTACAGGTATAATTGTCTACAGTTGTTAAAAATAGTATTAGACCATCTTTTTTTTCTTCTGTGTCATGTTCTAAAGGTTATAAAAACTAAGGAATAAAATTAATAATATGTTCTAAGAGTTTTGTTTAATGCATTTATTTATGTATTTTGTGTTCCAGTAACATTTATCATGTATGTTTTATTTCAAACAAAAAAAAGCTTGATTTAAAGGGAAAAGGAGGGAAAAATATGAATGAACTTATATATTCACATATCTATAATAAAGGAAACTTAAGGTGTCAGCCAAAATAAATCGTCGGATCAGTTTAGTGCAGGTATTCTGTTTTCATATCTCCTACTTCATTCATTTTTAATATCTAATGTAGATAGACACAAGTATGAACATAGCTATACACATACACCTATAAATAAATTCATAAATGATATCAAACCTATCCCTCACCTTCCATACATCTACAGAAAATTATATGTTTTGTTTCTAAAATGGGCTGATAGTAAAAAACAATAAAAAAGTCTAATAATTTTGTTTCATTCGTTTCAATGTGATCACAAACACACCACTGATTTTCCTTTGCCCCTTTTTAAATTTCTCTCTTTATTTTGCCTTATTGGTCTGTTGTACCACTAATTTCATCATAATAAAAAAAACTCTTGTTTCTGCTTAATTTGCAAAGCAAAGCTGCCATTGAAACTGTGAGCCAGCCAGTCCCTCCTGATTATTCTCCCAAGCTGCTGGGACAGGACAAATAAACAGAAATACGGTTTACTATTTTTTGTTGTGCTTTGCTTTTACTTTGCAATTTAGTTTTCTTCCACCATTGCACATTAAAAAAGGAAATTCAGTTTTTTTTTTTTTAAGGAAATTACAGGCAGAATCTAATATGCAACAAATCTAAGAATATCAGCGATAATAGTTTATATAAAGGCATTAAGGGATTATAATGTCAGTCCTTTGGAATAAATAGACAGAAAGTGAGAGTTTAGGAGGAAATGGAAAGAGTTGGAGGATAGAGTGTGTTGGTGAGTGAGTGGGTGGATTGGGGGGGTGTCCACTATGTGAGCAGTAATCAGTAGAAGACAGCAGGGGGGACAGTGAGGGTTGGCGGGGTCAGAGTCGAGCACCACTAAGCAGCCTTTCTCTTCATTAGGAGCCTCTCTAAGTGCCTCTCTACCTGTCTACCAGATTATTGAACCAACTAACCAGTGGCTCCAACCCCCCCCATACACACACACACACACATATCTGATACTCCTAGACCCAGAGGAATCACGACCCAGCCGCAGCCTCGCTCACAACTTTAACTTTTTCTTTAACCTACTGAAGCAGCACCATCACAGACCTCTGATCGCTGGTTTGCTGCAATGAGTGCATTAATCAACCCATACTTTATCATTTTACATGAATAACATTCAGATCATACACATATTTTACTCTTTAGGGGACAATTAATCTCTGAATTCACAAATAGTTACACGTAAGAGATAAATGCAAGAAGTGTAAAGAGGAATTTCATAATAAAAAACAGGATTTAGCTGGAAACATTTTAGAAATATGACAGACGGACAGACATGTTGTGGAGCTTTGAGGCCACAATGTTAAACTAAACTTCCTTTTTTAACAGCTTCTTAAATTCTAACCTCTTTCTTCATCTCCTTGTTGCTTAAAGTACAAAGGTGTTTAAAAGTCATCTATAATACCTCAGTTCTCCCCTGCCTGTCAGAGCAAAGGCAATAACTTTCCCTTTGGAGATTAACTCCACAACCAAGTCTGTATTGAAAATGCGTGGAGAATTCTGTATCAACAAATGAACCTGGATGGACAATAAAAAAGTTAGTTTCTCGCTGACATCTCATTCAACAGGTTCAGAGAGCAAACATCCAGGGCAGAATATTTAGGGAAATCAGCAGCCAATGAAGGAAGTCTGCAGGATTCAGGCCTAGCAGAAAACTTTGTTTGGAAATGAAATAACACACAACAAACATGGCTGATGTTCATCAAGCTTCTGTATACCGGCTGATAAAAGCCTCTTTCTAATTAGTAAAAGGTTACACAATCAGTGAGGTGTTTCAAAAAAAAAACTTCTTTTTAAAATGTGCTTCTGAGGTTTTAATGTCTTTACAAATATTTACATTTTGTTTAGTTCACCAAAATGTGCTTCACTTTTCAACAAGGCTATTAATAGTTCTGGTTGTTTTAAAGATGAATGAAGAACAAACACGCCTGTAAAAGGTCAGAAATTGGAGTTGGGGGGTTAACTGAGGTTCAGTCATCAGATGAGCCATATTTACCACAAATTTAACTATTTTAGGGAGAGCTGGACATGTTTGGTAAGTTCTTCATTGATCTGTGTTTTATTTTCCAAAATAAAGTTAACAATTACTAAAATTATGTGCTGTAGAGTTTCTTAATTAGATTTAGAAATCAAAAACATATTTACCATTGCTGCATGTTGTACCGGACAGATCTCGGGGCTCCTGGAACTTTTCGGGACTTGGTCGTCCTGGAAAAAGTCAGATTTCGCCCTCAAGTGGGGGAACTTTTCCGCTCCTGCTCCCTCTGATATCAGGATTCTCAAACTCTGACTCTCTGGCAGCTTTGATTAACCGTTAAGAATGATGTCAAGTGTTTTGTTTTGATTTTTTTCTGAGGGGTTTTGTTTTGTTTTTTTATCCTGGAGGATCGCAGAGTCGCTGCGCTTGGCGCGTCGGCTGGTTACGCGTCGGTGTCCCGGAGAGGAGCGCTGCGCTTCTGTCGCCTGAAAGCCGCAAAGTGAGGAAATTAAGCAAGAATCTCACAGACAAGCAGGAGCTGGGCTGTTGCTGCTTGTCCTACCTTGATGAAAAACGGGAAAGAGGGAAGAGAGAGAGAAAAAAAACGCCTTCTTTACACTTCCCTGGTGATTTCCTTGTGCGGAGTCAGCAGAGCGCGCGCCGTGGAGCTGCGGACGGTCCGGGGCTGCAGGGGGGGAAACCTGGGTGAATTCACACCACTGTGTCTCTGGACCCCGGTAGCTGCGATCCAGATGAGCTGATTTACAACATGGTGTCAGCACCAGATTCCCATCATGTAGGAACAGACATGTGTCAGAAAGCTGTAGCCCCGAGATAAGAAGAGGTTGAGTAACATTAGAAAAGTTTTCAGGGCAGTTTTTGCAGCAATCCCTCAGAGCAGGCAGGTTAAATGTCAGGAAAATGTCGCCTGAAAGAAAATACTTTTTATTCTGTTCAAAATGCATAAAAATGAAATAAAAAAGTTGGATAATGTAAGAAGATTCAATTGGATCTGAGTTTAAATTTGTCATCAATTTGACTTAGAAAATCTAAACCTAACGTGCTATTGAACTTCATTTGATAGAATAATGATCCAATATATATGTGGTATTATAAAAGTAAATGTAAATTTAATTAGCTAGTCTGTAATTTTGGTGATTCTTTTTCTATTTGTATACCTAGTGTAAAAGGTGTGCTGCCGGGGTACAAGATTTAGATCTGCAGTCCAGAATTAGTTTTTTAATTCATTTTCTATTTATAATTAAATAATTCTAAATGTTAAACATAAACTTTTACTCCAACAGTCTGAATAACTTCCTTTGTAGTGTTTACAACACACACAAAAAAAGCCTTATGAGCAAATGAAAATAAAAGAGAACAGCAAAAGAAGGAAGTCAACTTTAATTTTTCATTTTAAACGATTCAAGTCTTTTTGAGTATAAGAATTGTAATTTGGCAAAAACAAAAGTATAATTTACAGTTAAGTTAGATATTCTGGTTCCTTCTGGATTCCCAGTACGAACACTCACAGGTGCCTGTTAGAAAATCAGAGCATAGAAAGATTTCAGTAATTCAGCTCACAAAGTGAAACTCATGCATTATCTATTCCAAGGGTTTTTTGCTTATTTTTGATGATTCAGGCATAAATCTCATTAAATTCAAATGACCAGTTTCTGGGAGAATATTTCATCACTGCTCAAAAAAACAACAACAAAAACGTACTGTACAGAATACACTCAGTGCTTGGTCAGGGCCCCTTTTCGCAAGAGTTACTGCATGAATGCAGCACAGCAGGGAGCTCAGCCTGTGGCTCCTCTGAGGTGATGTTGCTTTAGAAGTGACCTTCACTTCTTTCAGTTTTATTAGTTCCAGTGTTTCTCATCTAACTCTCTGAAGCCCAGGGTTTCTCTGTAAGGTTTAGGCCAGGAAGTTAGCTGGTCAGTTGTATACAGGGGTTCCATCTTCATTAAAATCATTCAATTTAACCAGGAACTTGTATTTTGTGCAGTGTGAGCAGTCCTGCTGGAGATGCAAATCATCACCTAGATGGCTTCTCTGACTTTGGAGTTCATAAAACACAGAGGACCAGTAGCCTCAGATGAAAGACCTGCCCACCATCATCAAATAATGTATAAACTTTGCCCTGGACTGCTATCAGTAAGGTCCAGGGTGAGGACTCCAGAGACTTGGAACTTGATTTTCAAACATAATATTAAGTCTGCTGTCACCTGACAATAGGAATTTGGACCACGGAACATTGTGTCATATTTAGGACCATAGATGAACCCAAATGCTGAGGAGTGGTTGGTAAGATTATTAAAGAGGAACCAGTAACTGATGTGGCACAGAAGGAGGGAATAAATAACACTGCACAATAAGAGCGAAAAGTTACAAGGAATAAATAAATATAGTAAAGGAAGACGGACAATACAATAAACCATAGACCTTTGTTTATATGCAGAAAGTAATATAATAAAAAAAAGAAAAAACTAGAAAAAATCTTATAGAACAACAACATCAATGAAACCATAATACACTTTGCTTATTGATGTGTTAAGTGGCATCTTTCTGCTCTAAATACAGCACAGAATCCAAATAACTGTGCTTAAAGGAGATTTCTCCGAGAGAATGTTCATCGGCAGGCGTGAGGTGCCACAGATCTGCCCTCACACTGAGAAACATTTGGATTACCATTTACTCAGGAAAAGCTAGGTAACTTTTTCCAAATAGAAATTCTTGATTTACTCCATAAAATCATAGTGGATTTTACTTAGTAGGAAAAGAGTCGATTTAACAAAAAAAAAATCCAGTCAATTTTACTACCAAATTTATTTTATCAACAAAAGACGTACTTTTGTTTTGGCAAACTCAACTATACTGTAATCTCAACTGTATAATGTTTTCATTTATTTTCATTTTCAATATATACAAGTCATTCAATAAACTCAATAAAATGCTACAAACCCTTTAAATCAATTTAAAGGAGCAAAATTTGACAGTCAGTATATCAGCCTGACCTTGTGCAAATCAGCCTCAGGCTGTATTAAAACAATCATTTCTCACTGAAAAGTAGTCTAGTCGGATTCAGACAATTACTGTATGTTTGCTGATTAAGACAAACAAGTTAACATCTGTCCATCCATCTTCGCCCTCTTATTCTGTCATGTTCACAGTGGGGCTATTTCCAGCATTCTATGCAGGTGTGAGGCAGGGTACACCCAGACCAGATCGACAGTCTGTCTTAGAGCCACACAGAGACACACAACCATAGACACACTAGAAACTAGAGAAGCCAATTAACCTAACAGTCATGTTTTTGGACTGTGGGAGGAAGCAAGAGTACCCAGAGAGAACCCACGCATGCTCGGGGAGAACATGCAAACTCCACTGAACCGGGAATTAAACCAAGAACCTTCTTGCTGCAAGGCAGCAGTGCTACAAACTGCACCACTCAGTGTATTCTCATTATCAGTTTGTATGAAATCGTACGAAAAGTTATGCACAGTAATTTCGCACGTTTTTGATGGGTTTTTTTCGTCGTATTTTTACGTCTTGCCTCGAGACAAGATATCCTTGCGCATGCACATCTTACGCACCATTAAATAACATAGAATTTAACATACAATTAACCCTAAGATACAAAACAGGAAGCAACCTAGTTAGAGATCTGAAGAAGTAATTATTGCACTGTTTTTCCCAGTTTTACATCCGTCCGCAGATCTGCTTTTTTCGTCTGTCTGGCTGCGCATGCGCACTGATCTGTTTTTTCGAGGAAAAACGTCAAAAACGTACAAAATACTATGCATAACTTTTCGTACGATTTCTACGAACTGATAATGAGAATATGTTGCACCTCTATACAGTCAAGATCAAACTCTATTTTTTTTTTTTTTTATCTAAACATGGTCAAGCAAGGGAAAAAGCTCCAGGTTTAAGTTGAGACCTTATTTAAATTGTTTTTTTTTTTTTTATACTATTAATTTGCTTGTCTTTTGATGGATATACATTTACATATGAATTCATAGTCAAACATTAAATGAAAGGTATCATTTTGAAGTATGGCCAGCATGGCTCTGATGTGATAGTTAAACCAGGGTGTTTAGATATAGAATATTTTTAACTGTTTTTGCTACATTCAGAAAATGACAGAAGAAAGGATGCTTGGAGCTCAGTGTCTGGGTCCCTGAAGCTCTCCTACTTTTGGTGCCTTCAAATTAGAGCTGCTGGGATCATTTCTCAAATTCTATCATTTATTTCTTTTTTTTCTCCGTCAGATCAACTTTATTAATAAAGCACCTTAGTCAAAGCTTAAGAAAATCTCCTCAAGTGGGGAAATTGTTTGGCATGAGAGGACATTTAGCAGTGCTAAAAGGGATTTAAACAGAGAGTATTGCCGCAACAGAAAGAGCTGATTGACTGATCCACCACCTAAATGCTGGAAGAAATTAGAACTTCTTTAACAATTATTAATAATAAAATAAGACAACATTTATTATCTACATAAAGGGAGAATAATTTTTGTTCAACGAGATTATAAGCACACCTCTAATAAAAATATTGAATAATTATGGATAGAAAAACAAGGCAATAGAGAGAATTTTCATTAATCTTATTCACTGCAGGAGCAGTCAGAGATAAATATCTACAAATATCTGCACACAAGGTAAGACATAAAAACATTCACTTCAGCTTACATAGAAGGAAAATATATGATAGGTCAGATTTTAATGTTGGACATCCAGAGGTGTGGAAAGTATAAATGTTTATTAATCAAGTTGAAATCCTACTATTTAAAAACACTTTTGTAGAAGTTACAGTATCAACTTATACTTAAGTAAAAGTGAAAAAGTACAATTTTTAAAACTACTTAAATTATAAAAGTAAAATTAATGAAGGAAAAAATAAAAATAAAATTATTAAATGAAAATTTCCTTATACTTAAGTTTTTTAGTTTTATAACTTATGGCAGCAGTGTCAAATTTAACTCTGTATCACATCAAAAAACGATCACTCTGCTGGTTTATTTTTATTTTTTTTTAAAGAAAATTAGTATAATGAAACAAAACCAATGAGTCTATTTTTAAACATTTAAGGAGTAGAAAGTAGCAATAATTGAAAAAAAAAAAATGTAAGGATTAGAAGAAATGATTTGTCAAAAAAAATAATAAAACTCCAGTAAAGTATAGAAGGCAAAAGTTTCTACTTAAATAAGGTAACAAAGTATTTGTACTTTGTTACTTGATACTTCCGTGTACATCATAATACGGTGTGATGCCATCTACTCTCTGGCTTTTGTCTTTGCTAGGAAGCGTATCTCATTCTTCAGGCTTGTGCATAAACAGTGTTGTGTAAGTTACTTTTAAAATGTAATCCGTTACAGTTACAAGTTACCTTGTTTTACAGTGTAATTGTAGTGTAACTTTTTTGATTAGTTTTAAAAAGTAATGTAACTAATTACTTTTGATTACTTTTTGATTACTTTAAGGTTTTAATGAGTATTGACCCATGTTCAACATTTATTTTTTGAGAACTGAATGTGAACCTTAAAAAAGCACTAAGCTGAGAGGGAACTGCTGACAGGCAATCACAGGATGTCCACAAGAAGAGATGCCAGCACCAGGCATGTAAGATTTTCTCAGACTCCTCTCATCGGGCCATACTCTTTTCTGTTCCTCCCCCAGGCTCTACCATTTACGCAGTTTGCAGACTAACACAAGCAAGTTCA